TCTCCATAACACATCCCACATGTGCCAAACAACAGGAGCAGCAAGCAGAGATAAGGATTGTGTTAATTCCCTTCTCTCTCTGAGCTTTCTCACTGCCTTCCCCAGGAAAAGTCCTGGGAGAGTGAATTATGTCTCTCTCTGTTCAAAGAGTTTGTGAATACCACAGGAGCTGAGCTTCACACCTTCCTGAGACAGGGTTCAAAGTGATGGGAACGCACTGTGAAAACGTCTGGTGAGACCAAGCCAGGATCTCTGTCACCCAGGGACCCCACCCAGGCTGGGCTGAGCCTCAGGGATTTGCCTGTGTGGTGCAGTTGATGCATCACCACAGACAAATGCAAATCTGGGGGACAAAGTCACTTGCTGGTACAGCACAGAGGTTTAGTGCTCTGCCCCAGAGAGAGGGGGGCTGTGACATCCATATTTCCTACAATTAAATCAGCCCTTGGGACCTCAACAGGGAAAAGCCATTGTTGCTCTCTGGCCTTACCCAAGTAGCTCTTTGGAGCTTTCCTGACTTGTTGGATTTGATTATGGCCTTTCCAAAGTGTCTGTACCTCATACAACAAATAGCTGAGTGTACCTACACACTGCTGGGAAGGAATTTGCTCCACTTGCAGTGCCTCTGTCACCAGCTGTCCCCACCCAGTCAGGGCCGATCTTTGGCCTTAGGGGCCAATGTTGACCCAGCCAGCTCAGTAACTCTGTCACATCCAACTGTGTACTGAAAATAGGAAAGTGACTAATCACCATTTCCCAGCAATGAAGCATCACTTTCCAGTTTGGAGCTTTATCTGGAAAATTCCCCATGCAAGAGCCCCTCATCAAGCACTGAGCCCAGGACACAGCTGCAGCAGAGTCCCCTGAGGTTGTAGCTTCAGCCCATGAGAAAACCCACATATTCCTGGCAGTGCAGGGGTAAGACATGGGAGAGTTGTCTGAGGGCTCTTGGTGAGCCCAGTGATGGTGGAACCCCCAGGAGAGGCAGAGACTCACCATGGCTCACTGGAGGGTG